TTTTGTTGATTTAATAGAATATGACAGATTTAATAGATTTTTTAAAACACATTTAGTAGAATTCTGATGAAGTGCTCCCCTAAGCACCCCCTAGAAGAGCCCAAACACAACCCAGCATGCCTGCTTTACAGGATAGCTACAGACTTTGAAATTTGGTTTTGTTTCACAGTTGAATTAAACACTGCATTGCAAAGTTGCCCATGAAACAAAAATAAAAAATCATTTCAATCAATTTAATGTTTTGTTTTGACAAAATAATTTTGTTTTGATTGTTACTTTCAGTTTTGATTTAAATTTTATATTAGAACACAGAATACATTTTTGAAAGGAAAGTTTGAAACAAAAGCATTTCTGTTCCAGAAATGCCAAAAAGCTTTATCTGGAAATATGAATAATGAAAATAAATAACAGTCCTGGAAGTATTTTTTTTTTTTAACGAACCAGTATTACCACAAGAAGAGAATGCCACTAGGTTTTTTTTTTTAGTGCTTCTAGTCCTGACCTTCAGTACTCTTTTGTGAGCCTCAGAAGCTTGTAATACCTCTGCAATGCTATCAATATGTCAGTGACAATCTAATTATTATTAATAATCCAGCTGGTATGTTGTTCTTGTCCAAGAACCGGTGGAGCTTACCGATGTATGAAAGGTAAGAGGCTTTTTCAGACAGTCATTTATATAACAACTAACATACGTCTTGTTGGGTAAAGTACCCTTAATTACTATTGCCATTTGGGGAAGTATCAAAACCAGTTCTAAGCAGGATAAAGCAGCAGACTGAAAGTCACAGAGAGTCCTACAGAAGAATCTGGAGTGAGGAGAAGTGAGGGGAATGCTAGCTGTTTCTGCTCTGTCCCTGTAACCTTAAACTTAACTGGTAGAGAAATGTAAAAGCAGTTGAGATTAATAAGATGTTTTACATCTAAGAATCCCTTTTTCTTTAACCATTTGCCACTAAGAAGGCTCTTGATCACTGCTCATACATTTCCAAATGAATAAACTGCAAAATACCATGAAGTCATGTGAAGCTTGACTGAAGCTGTGAGCCAAATCCTGGCCTAAAACAGGAAGAATTCAGGGATTTCACCTAGATCAGGTAGCAGCAAGAGTGCCAACATATGAAACTATTCACTTAGGAGGACCAGAAGGAGAGCTGAAATACAGCTAGGCCTTTAACCGTGACAGCACATCATTCCCAGTGATTGGCATCCCCTGGCTATTTCAGCATTGAGATGTTTATGAGAAGTAGTTGTCTCCCGTGCCATTTGGTGAAGGGTTTTTTGTAACATAGACAGAATCTCAGTAAGAACCAAATAATTTTTGTTTCTTATAAAGTGAATTTCTGAATGCAGTGCTTGGAGAAGAAGTCCAAGGATTCAAACAACTGTACTGCTTAGTCCCCCCCGAATGGAACTTGAGCCTACCTACTACAACATTGGATGCCATGTTTCGCAAAGCAGAGACGAGGAAAGTCTTGGGGAGAACTGTTGGGATTACCTCACCTGTGGGTTTTTTAAAGTATTAGAATTGGGGAGGAGTATTTGGGAAGAGAGAGGGTGGCTAAAATAAAAGGAGTTTGGATTGTCTATCTTTACAAATAGGTTATTACCATATAAGAGAAATACAAAGGCTTGTTCAAAAGCCTGAACTACAATTACCTCTAACAGAGCTTTTTCTGCTGCACATCAAGCAGACCGTTGAATTTGTGTTCTGCATACTGGGCCCATGTGCTGCCACCTTCCACAACCTGAAAGGAGCTGAACACTCTCTCCTTCACATTGCACGTACCTTCAGCTAAGGCTGCCTGTAACCCCTTCCTAGCAGTAAGATTTCAGAGCCTAACTGCCCGAGGAAGATGACTCACTCCCCTCACTCTTCACAAAACAAAAATACAGATTTAGAGATCAGAGAAAACAGAAAATACCCAAATGCTCTTCCGTGCCTCAGCATCCTCAGCACTAGCAGAGAATGATCCTCGGGCTTAGATCCACATTAAGCGAAAAGTTTCCCTTTCCTAAACACAGTGCCTCTTCCATATGAGGGACTCTCAATCCTCTACTACCAGCTTCCCTCTCCCTTAGCTGGTCTTAGTTATTAAAACAAACAAACGAAAAAAAACCCTCCCTCTGCTAAGCATCCCTCCCCTCTCCTCTCTCAACTTTCCTTGCGTCTCCCTTCATGCCTCCCAGGCTTTGTTGTTTTCAAGCCCCTGCACTAATACCTGGTCTCTTTGTTCTTTTTTCTGTTTGCTTAAAACTCCAGCCCCCAAAAGCAAATTTGGAGAAAACTGGCTTTCTCTAGTTGCCCCATTGTTCTTCTCAGGCAAGATCTATTTCAGATGTTTCTATTTCAAATATTTAATGACAGACCTATTCATACAAAGATATGCCAACACCACTCCCCTGTCTCTTTGGCATGATGCAGAGCACAGAAAAGATTGTCACAAGATACAAGGATTCAGTTAGTCAATAAAATCAAGTTCTAACTTATAAACAGTACGTAGCAGATTCCATAGATTGCCACACTTCCCAGAAGCAAAAGCCTGACAAGGAGCAGTTTCAGGGGAGACCCCACGGGACAGACACATCCAGTTAGCACTACCACAGTGGACCCTGCCTGGCTTCCCTTCCAACAGGACCTGAAGAGAAGCCAAAGACTGTATTGAGCCTTGGAGAGTTAACTTACTTTTTGGTCTTGTCTTCACTGCAATGTCATCTGAAAGTACAATGCTAACGTTGCCCCCAGCATGACTCCCACCCACAACAGAAGCCTCTTGCTCAAACTAAGTGCTATTTTAACTTGACTCTTTGGCCTAAAAAAAGACTGTAAGTGGCAGGCCATGGGTTGTAGTTACTAGTGCCAGTAACGCAGTGGGAACTCAGCAGTTCTCTGGTTATGGGTTTAAAGCGTTGATCTAAGACCCCGTCTTAGACTAAAACCACACAACCCTTATACCTGGTTATCTACATTAAGCTCATGCAGATGCAAATACTCAGTCTCTGCAGTACATTACTGACAAATAAATACTCCAAATTTGCAGAAGAAACCACGTGTACAAATCAGTTTAGGACAGAGAACCCTTACCAACATCAGTCTGTAACACTGTGCCGATAAACTGATTCAACCATGTAAAACTAGGCTGGTTTTAAGCATTTTTACCCACTACCTCTGCCTACCCAGGCTATCACTGGGAATGAGGGGGGCTTCTTGCAAGTGCCTTAGTCACTGTCTGTGAAACACAGCACAGCTGCAGCAATAGCCAAACCTCACATGAACACACTGTGATCAGATTTTAGCTCTGTGTGAACTGCAGACCTTATGGATACTGTCCTGGTTTCAGCTGGGATAGAGTTAATTTTCTTCCTAGTAGCTGGTAGGGTGCTGTTTTTTTGATTTAGCATGATGATAATGTGATAACACACTGATGTTTTAGTTGTTGCTAAGCAATGTTTATACTAAGTCAAGGACTTTCCAGCTTCCCATACTCTGCCAGTGAGGAGGTGCACAAGAAGCTGGGAGGGGGCACAGCCAGGACAGCTGACTCAAACTGGCCAAAGGGATATTCCATACCATATGACGTCATGCTCAGCATATACGCTGGGGGGAGTTGGCCAGGGGGCAGCAATCGCTACTCAGGGACTGACTGGGCGTTGGTCAGCGGGTGGTGAGCAGTTGCATCACTTGTTTGTTTTTTTCCCCCGGGGTTTTGTTTCTCTCTCTCGTTTTACTTTCCATTACAATTATTATTATTATTATTATTTTATTTCAAGTATTAAACTGTTCTTATCTCAACCCACAATTTTTCTTACTTTTGCTCTTCTGAATCTCTCCCCCTTCCCACCAGGGTGGGGATGGTGAGTGAGTGGCTGTGTGGTGCTTAGTTGCCGACTGGGGTTAAACCACGACGATATGGACAAAAGTATTTTAAGGCACATTGTGGCGTGTGAGAGCAAGCTAAGGTGTCCATATAGACAGTGTCTGTGTCGCAAATCCAATCTCTTGCATCTTGACTGTTACCTACATAAACCCCCTCTTCACTCTAATTAGCTGGCATGAGATGAGCAAATCTGAGTACAGGCAACTAATACAAACCACCACAAAAGTGGCCATATTGTCATCTGAACATCTCATGCTCTAGTTTATTTACAGTCTCCAGGGCTGTAATCCCAGCTGGTAGTTTAATTAGAAGTGAATGTACTTTTCACAACAAATTGGACCTTCTCCTTCGTGGGCATCAGAGATCCCTTCCACAGATGACTGTGGAACATGAAGAGACAAATTTGGGGGACATCGGGCAGGCAGTTTTCTCATATCATGTATCTGAAAAACTACCATCACTCTCTGGCTCAGAAGAGGACTTGGCAGCAAGTCAGACTATTTTGACTATCCAGAGGACTCTTCCCCCAATGCCAGAGTAGTAAGATACAGGCATCATGGAAGCTTGCAACAAAGCATAAACTAATGCTATTTAGAAGTCAATACAAAATTGTGGACTACAAGGCCAGCTGCAGGGGCTGTCCTTTGCTTATGGGTTTTAAGCCAAAGCATGGGATAACATGGCAAGCATCATCAGAGTACATACATATCTACTCTTTTGCTGTTACCGTACAACGGTAGCTTTGCTCATTCTGTAGCCATTAGTAAATGCCGTACTATAAAACTGCAAGCGTAGCAGGGTTTTAACAGTCTTTTTCCTCTAGCTGCCCTGGGATTTTTCATTTCTTGGCTGTAACCAGTTGCAACCAGTTGTGAATAAGTCGTTATCCCTCTGTGCAACTCACAGCAACTAAAAGAAACCAGTGTCATTATGCAAGTTTCAAAAAAAAAAAAAAGGTTTTGTTTTATGGTTAATTATCCATGGTCTATTTACAAAATAAATCAACCCATTGTGCACCACCAGGATTTGTGGCCTCATTTGAACTTTGCTTTTCATTAATCACTTTAAAAATAAAAGCTAACTAGATTTTTTTTTTCTTTTTGGTTTATTACTTGCATCTGGGTAGAAATTGTAAAAATGGTGAGAGAACAAAGTATGGATTATTCACCCTCAGTTTCATGACTTACATGATCTCAGTCTTGTCTTTCTCCACGTGCCTAAACAGATGCACAGTCCAAAAATTCCAACATTCTGTAAGAAATGCAATCACAAGAAGATTGAAATATTTTTTAAACTCAAACTTTGACTTATTCAAAAAAAATAAATTGTAAAAAGCTTCCCTTAAGAAACAAAAAGGTGCGCAAACATTTACAAACATATTTAACCTACTATAAGAGGCCAATAAAATTACTCATGAGATACCTAAGTAATACACAAATGTTTGTGAGCTCTGAGTGCAAGGTTATTTTGTTTAGACAAAACTTACTTGCAGGCAGGCTGGAGAAGGCAGCAAATGGATATCTGATTTCTTTATAGTGCTTACAATTTATACAAGAAACCAGAAATATTTTTTTTTCTGAAAATGTTTTAATTATATAAGACGTTTAGATCTTGTCCCCATGTGATGACAGAGAACTACTGAACTTCTGAAAACTAGCCAATGGAGAGGCAGGCGAAGGACATTTTTAGCTGCTCTGTTAAGAAACTAACTGTATTAACACTTATTTTACTCTGATAGGGAATAAAATATATATTTGCATAAAACTGAAATTCTCCTCAGCTTCAAATAAGGAAGCTTGAACAATACATTTGTTTCCACTATGGACTCTTCAAGTACAACTAAAAAATAAGAAAGGCTGATTAACAACCACAATAAAAGCATATATAACACCAGGATATCAAAATGCCACCCCCCCCACCTTTTTTTTTTTTTTCCCATTTACCAGTCACCCTTAAGCATTCTTTGCCTTTACTATGAGGAACAGAAAGTCACAGTGCCCCACGTAATCATGAAATGCTATGGAAAAAGCTGTGCTGTCAGTAGGTCAAAAAATGTGGTTCTGCTGCACTCAAGACTACAACTTTTTACATCAAAGCTCCTGAGCTGGATGCAAGTATAAAGACGACTGAACACAGCCAACAGGTATCTTTTAGAAACCATGATGAAGAGTTGACGCTAAGACATTAGATCATTAATACTACATATTATTACTAATAGGAGCTCAGGAAAGTAATTTTTGCTTGCCTGTTGGTGCGAAATAGAATCGTAGAGATTTGAAAAGTTAAAGAAACCCACTGCCTCCTCCTCCTCCACTTTGCAGATGGCTGAGCTGCTTTAACTTTCATTTCCAAAAGTAAATTAGCTCCTACTTAAATGGAAGTAAAAATTTAAAGCTGCCTCCACCTGACTGCAAAGCACAGCAGCCGGGCTGGGAGAGGAATGGATAGGCCTTCAAAGAAAATAAAAGCCTTTTTAAGCGACTCCTAATATGAACGCCTGCCTTTGCAGCAGCGAGCTGTGGCCCTACAGCCGCTTTCCATTATAAATGCTAAATTGGGAAATGTTTAACATTCTTTGTTTAATCTTTGTAGTATAAAGAAAAAACAGCTGATTCTCAGAAACACGACAGCCCGAACAACCATTATGGATCTGCCCCTCCCTTCCTCACAGCAGAACAGACCATATCCAGCCTCAGTGTCGACTGACACTTTTTAATCAGAAATGTGTATTTAGATGGATCCCAGAAGACGAGATTGAAATTTTGTCTTTTTTTTTTTTTTTTTTTTTTTTCGTGTAAGGGGCCTAAGGCAACCAGGATATTTAATGAAAACTGTAAGCAGAAAAATAGTTTAAGAAATATAGGTAGTGAAAACTATGGGCAAAGATGGTTTCAGATGCTTTCTGCACTGTTCTCTGTTAATACCTTTCCACAGTCTTTCCATGAAAAGCATTATTATTTGTTTTGATTTAAAACATTATCAACTGAGTGCGTTTTTCTCTTGTTCACTGCACAGTCAAAGCAGTGAGTCCATCTATTCTGCTGCAGCCAGTCACAAATAAATCAGCAAAAACTCAGGAGCGAACAATCCTCTCTGCTGCTTACACAGGCGAGCTCTCCTTGTATCTTGTCTCTGCAAGAACTTCCCTAAAGGGGTGAGTTTCATCATGCGTCCTAAAAGCCAAATAAGTCAGAGGTTTCTTCAGTTAAAATTATGAAATAATACCCCAAATCGAGTCCCCACAGAAACTGAACTGTTTACAGTTAGTTTTCTTACAAGATTTTACCCTGAAGCACACTTTCCGGATTATCAAGTCTAGTTCCCTGCTCTCTTTTACTACAGGTAAAAAGGCCATGTCCTGAAGAGTTGCTTTTAAGCCTCTGCATCAATAAGGTGAAGAGAGCTTATCCATCCTTCCCACCCTAGCCACCAGCATGCAGCAGTCGGCAGCGATGAGACCAGACGTCCAGGAAACAAACCCATGAACAAATGAGGATGTGCTCCTTCCCCAAAGTGGGTATGACAGACTGCACGGTGCGTCCTCTCGTGGGGCTCACGCTGATGCAGGCACTCCATCCAAACAGAGCCCTCTTCATTTAGCACCAACAGGACAATATTAACCGCTGTGCAGAAGACAGAGCAAGGAATATCCAGGTGTCAACCCTGCTCTAAGCACTGTGCCCATCCCGACAACTCCTCTACGCCGCTGGACTTCAGTGAGCCTTCCCTGCGGGTGTCATGGCCCACTTGCATACATTGGATTTAACAGCAAAGACTAGAGTACACAGATTCTCAGATGGGAGAAATTCCAGCTTCGTTTGCTGTGAATGTGTAAGATAATAATTTTGAAAAAGAGGAGTGCAGGAACGTTCAGCGCGGCTAGGCCTGATACTTTCGTAACAACTACTCTAAATATATTGCTTCTTGCTTCTTTTCTTGCAGACTTCTGTAAGTCAAAAAGACCCATGAAACTACTGAAGGCTGTAGCAATGAATTACTTATAGTGAAGGTCACAAAACTGTCATAAACTTCAACCAAAGTGTCAGAGTTGCAAAAAACAGTGTTCTGAGGAAGGGAGGGAGGGAGGAAACCTTGCAGAATAATTACTAGATAAGAAAATACTACTGTAGCTAATTCAGCACATTGCTGGATACAGCAAAATCATATTAGCTAGCTATTTTTCCAATATACCCAACCCCAAGCATGTGTCAGGGAAGAAAAAGAATGAAATTTAAAAGTATAAATTAATGTAGAGCTCTTTTCATTTTTGCTGTTGTTTTTAAACCTTTAGGGTTCATATTCAACCTTTTCTCTAAAATAACAAACTTGAATTCAAGAAAACTAAGACACAGATCTTCATAGTGGCAGGACTCAAACAGCTTATGTTTAAAAATAAAATACCAGAGTCTTTTTAAGTTGTAAAATGAAGTCTTATTCACTCAAACTGAATATTAACATCTCATTTCAGAAACTGTTCAAGCCATCGCTTTTGCCTATTTTGCCTATGAATTTAGGAAGACAGAAGTTTCACAGGTTGCATGTCTAGCATCTGGTCAAGTCAAATCACCCTCTCCTCCATAAATTAAAATTAGGTTTCCATTCTGCAGAAAATAGAAAATTCCATCGTTCTGGTTGCTGTTCAGCTGCATATATATAACCAGTCTTTTAGCAGCAGGCATTTCCACGGTTTTTCTTCTTGTTTAATTCGTAAATACTCAGAAAATAATTAAATGTGTGTTTGACCATTAAGGAAAGTTAGTGCCTTGTTACAACTCCCTGTAAGTGTACAAAGCAAAGCTGGGGACTGAAGGCTCAGGAAGTTAGAGGTAACCTAGTGACATGCAAAGAAACTTCTCAGTAACTGAAAAGCATGCAAATGCCTTTAAGAGGGAAATTTGCTTGTCTACTGTTAAAAGTTATCAGGTTTTGTACACCTATTCCAAACAAGTCTTCCATTGTAATTAGTGCAGACAAAAAACTTATAGACTAAAACTCTGAGAAGATGGGCAGAAAGTAATTTTCATTCAAAGATGTATGACCACTCTTTTGATTAAGTTAAACACTGGAATCATTATTTATCATGTTCTCTGTAAAGCTACACAGTCTACATCTTCCAAGCATTTTATAAAGGTTTGACAGCTATTAGGGACACCAGGATAAGGGATTTTAAGGAGATTACTCTCCTCCACTGCATGCAATCATGTCATAAACCGCTACTGATACGCTGATTCAGCCCCATCTTACAACTACATAGGTTTCCAGGCCCTATAATTCCTATAGGATAGTCTTCCAGAATTTAATCCTCTGATGACTAGGGTTGTCATCTGATTTCCAGCTAACATTTATATATGGTTAGTGCCCACAATTTGGTCTTTGTGGCAACACCGGCCTGAAGTTTAAATGATTTTTTTAACCTCTCCAAATTATTTCAACACCTTCTCCCTGTGCATTTAAATCCACTTTATAAACATTAATAAAATAGCTTCAGAATATTTCTGTAGGGCACAATAAACCAAGTATCTACTACTACAATCCCTAAGAGATTCTGTACTGAGACAGAAGTGGAGGCAGAAGTTGTTTTTGTTGCCCAGAGCCAAAGCAAGGGCTGGTTTCAGAATCAGGCAGGGAATCCAGGTGTTCCAATACGCTTTTGAATATATATGTACTCCCCAGCGATTTGGTGAAATATACGGCTTATAATATACTTATAGAGCTTAAAATATTCCACTTCCTGTTTTCACAAAACCCTATTTCATTTAAAGCTTGTCTAAGGGGTCACTGTTGAAAGATGTCAGCTTTAACTAGTTTTTCTATTATTCCTGAAGTGGGCATAATTCACACTCAGGGTCATTTTATGGCTCCTTTCCAATGCCAGAAAAACACTTTAAAATAACTGAGAATCGAGCCCTATAACTTTATAATTGACCTAATAGACTCCTGACATAATACCAACAGAATTAGCAGCATTACACTAGGGAAGAATCTGTCCAAGACTGTGCACGCAGACAAGAACGGTTTGTAAAGGGCAAAAGAAAACAAACCCCGACACAATGCTCGCAACCACAAAACGGGTCAGATCCTCAGAGGATACAACTAGGAATAAATTGGTTGCAATAACTACAGGAATATTTTCTTCCTGTGATCAAAAAGTGTGATGTTTTCTTAGTATTGACCCTTTTCTTCCCTTTTTTGAACCCCCCAAATCCCTCATTTTTTATTCTTTTAGCAGGGTTATACATTTTTCACTTGCA